TCGCTGCCTCGTTTATCCTGTCTCTATCTGTAATACCAAGTCTATGACTTGCCATGGCATGGCATTATCTTTGGGGGTTTTGTCATTTTGGGTTCATAATTTTGCTATTTATATATTTATTTTAAAATAATTTTACCTGTTTTAAACTAATCTGCCGGAATTTTATTATTCTCACATTACCAAAGGATTGGCTCTCAAAATTACAAATTGTTTACTCTTAAGAAAGTTATCTATACTCTCCTTAGCTTCTGATACTACTACTTTGTGGATTCTATCTATTCAACTTTATTTACGAAACCAGTAGTCAAATAACATGAAATATTATATGCTTTTTCGAAATATGTTTTTTAATCCTATATGAATCTTTTTTATTATTCTAATTTGTGTCTATGCCACTTCATTTAATTCTTCTATCATATTTTCTTTACTGTTTATAGAGGAATTGCTCCACTTCGCCGATTGAAGATCCAAACGATGCTTGGGATAGATCAGTTGGAAGCGGATCGCGCTGCTGTGCAGCGCCATTTAGCCAGCATCGAATGCGCCTGTCAGGCTGCCAGAGATCTATTGTCGGGCTCAGAAGCCGCCTCCATGCCTCTTCTTGATAGCATGATTTCCAAAGCCCCTAAAAATTCAGTCTCTTTGTCCTCTTCTCCCATTTCTTTTTCGGCCTCGTCCTCTAATTTCAAACGTTCACAACTAAAAAAATCGACGACACAAGTTGATGAAGCCCAATATTTTCAGCCTGGTCCTCTTCGGGTAGCACAGTCTTTCGACAGGAAAGTGACCCTTGATTCTAAGGACGTACGTCTTGAACCTGTTATGGAAACAGATGCTTCCCTTGCCATCTCATCCTGTTCTTCTCTGTCTTTCTCGGATTCTTCAGCGTTGCCTTTTCCATCTTGTTATTCTGGTCGACCAGGCGCAGTCGGAAAAGTGCCATCTGTGCCCAACCCATCAGAGAGAGAAATTAGCTCAACAAACAATTCATGGAGCCAACGTTCCACGGAACGTGCAACTCCACGGGCTGTAAATCCGGAAACCGACTCAGTACTTAAGGATAGCCCAGCTCGGGCTGCTTCTATTGCTGATTGTGTTGTGCTGCCGTCACCAATACTAGGCACAACGACTGTTGTTGCCGCGCATGAAGAGTCTGGGACTAGCGAAGCGAAAGTGATAAAGGCTGGCAGACGTTCAAGGGGTCTAGCCGCTAAGCGAATCAGTCAGAAAGCGACTTCAAATGATGCCCCTACCTGGCAGAATTAGGTTGCTGGGCTAGGCGAGTTACTTGTCTGGTAGGGATCTATCAATTATGTTGTTCTTGTGGTGTCAAGTTCTTACAATTTGAAAATCTATCTTTCTTCTATCACTGTAAAATATCTTCTTTAATACTATCCTACAATGTCTTCGTTTTTGTTAAAAGGCTGGGGCATTTTATAGTTTATCAACAACCCATTTTTTCGTATAAGAGTAGGGTTTCGAGACTACCAGTAAATCAGTGTAATGAGATGTATTCACCCTATTTC